GTACCGGGGGGGCGGGGGGGCGGCCAGCAGCAGGTGAGTGCGCAGGCGCGCCGGGCCGGCCGGCGCACTGCGCGTGCGCCTGCTTCGACTCCCAGTGTCTCGGGCAGGGCCGGGGGAGCCAAAGAGAGGCGGGCGGGCGGGCGAGGCGGAGAGCGGGGCAGCCCCCTTAAAGGGGCCGCCATCTTCCCGCAGCCCCCGTGATTAACGCCACTCATTTAAACATGACCGATCGTTGCTTGAGCCGGTTGTGAGGGTTTGCTGGGTTTTTTTGTTTGTTCGTTTTTTTAAGGGGCTTTAAATGTTTGTAGTTGGCAAAGCCAGGTTGGGAAGGGAGGTGAGGTGCTCCTCCTCCGCGAAAAGCGGGGCTGGAAGCCGTGCATGAATGTCTGCCCAGGTGGATCGTGTTGTGAGATCAAAGTAAAAAGAAAAAAAAAAAGAAAAAAAAAACAAAAGAAAGTTCCGTTTTTCAGTAAGCGCTGCCACAGCCCTGTCCCACCGCCCTCACGGCTCGTCCTGCACCGCTCTCCATCCCCATCTCCCCGAAAACGCTAAAATACGCAAAAATGGGTTAAAAACCACATGGGGTTATGGGAGTGTTCTGCCTGGAGAAGAGGAGGCTCAGGGGAGACCTTATCGCTCTCTACAACTCCCTGAAAGGACAAGTGTCAGGATGAGAGGAAATGGCCTCAAGTTGCACCAAGGGAGGTTTAGGTTGGATTTAGGGAAAAATTCTTCACAGAAGGGGTTGCCAAGCACTGGAACAAGCTGCCCAGGGAAGTGGTGGAGTCACCACGCCTGGAGGTGTTTAACAGATGAGTAGATGTGGCACTGAGGGTCATGGTTTAGTGGTGGATTTGGTGGTGAGTTTACAGATGGGATCAGTGATCTGAAAGGTCTTTTTCAACATACATGATTCTAAATTACTCTAAACACGAAAACATATTAAGGACATTTCATGGACGTAAATGTTTTCCTCTCTGTGTATGCATCCCATTTATGAAGGTTTCACCTTTTCTTTGCCCATATCACAATCTGGATTTTGTTGTCTTTACACTGGGACAATGCAGACCCTGAACTGCTTCTACTTCTGCCATGGGTAAATTGCCAAAGCAGAGGGATGGCACAAATACCTTGTTGTGGGACTTGCTGTTTTAGTAAAACTACACATAGACATACTGAGAAAGAAAAAATTCTTATTGTTTGTTTGTTTTTTCTTAAAGTAACCTGGAATCGAGACAATGCTTTTCAAAATTTTGCCATGAAGTCTCACCTGACCTTCCTGGTGAGTTGTTCTGATGCCAAGGGAAGCTCACACTGTGTCAGGCTGCACTGGGAGCAGTTCAGAGACCGAGTGGGACAGCCAGGCAGTAGCATACAGATACTGCCAAGACAAAACTTGCAGCCTCAAAGAGTAAAGTATTATCAGTAGAGCAATAATCAGATGTGATTATTCAATCTGAAAGAGGCAATCCAACCACCTCAAAGTCTTACCACTTCTGCTACTTTTTTTTTCAGAAGTCTGATAGCAGTTTAACTACCAAATATTAATGAATACCAGGTACCCCCAAACCCACTTTGAGAAAGAAAAAAAAATGAAAGTGTCTCTGAGATTGTATTGTATGTCAATGTATTTCTCTTTTTATCTTCGTACTTACAAATAGGTTGACTTAAACTGATAAACTTAGTTCCTCTTGTAACTTGCTAGGATTCAAGATATATAGATTTGCTGTACTAATAACTTTAAAGTATTCTAGCTAAAAGAGTATCCTGGGATATAAAGGAAACCATTTGTGAGTGTAGTTCAGCTGCAAAAACTGCTTGGTGAACTCAAAGGAAATCACCACACTTGAGTTTTAGGCCTTGGGGAACAGTCAGGTAAGAAAGTCCAAGGCTGGTCCACCACATACCTGCCTGCTGCCTTCACCTAAGCAGGGAAAAGGGAGTATTCAGGCAAGCCCTGGAGTCTCCGAGAAGTTTGTACAGACTGGAGTAAACAGAAGAGATGTCCAAGAAGAAATGAAAGAAGATTTTCACAGAAGCACCTTGACCAGAGTGACAGAAGTCCCAGTTCTGCTTGTGTGTGATTTGTGTAAGTGGCTGAACTTAGTGCTTGACGTGACTTTTCACTTCTGCTACAGAAAGAATTTTTTGCAAAGAGTGGATACAAATTTTGAGGTGTAGATCAATGCCCCCTCCTTCCTGAGATTATGGGAGGTCACTACCACATCCTCATCTTCTCTGAATCCCACTGACCTTTGAAAGTCCACATGCCAGGCAGCAAGCAATTCAGGTCCCACTGAATTGAATTGAGGGGAAGCAGAATCGAGCTCTGAATTAATGTTGGACTTGTTGCCATGGGGGCTTAATAGAAAGCCGGGGTCTTATCTGTCACATTACAGAACTTTGTCCTGCTACACAGAGCTAAAGAAACCACGTAACCAGCCTCAGAGATGGATGATTTTTGTTCCTTGTAACATTATAAACCACTCAGGGCTTGGTAGGGTGGGGTTAGATAAGAAAAATTTCCTACTGAAACCATGAGCAGGTTTATAATTATATTTACTCCTTGGGGCTCTCTAAAGTTGTATGATACCTTTGATTTTACCTTTGATTTATTTTTTTTTTTCTCCCAGGCAACTAACAATAGGATAAGAGGACACAGTCTTAAGCTGCACCAGGAGAGGTTTAGGTTGGACATTAAGAAGAAGTTCTTCCCAGAAAGGGTGATTGGGCGTTGGAATGGGCTGCCCAGGGAGGTGGTGGAGTCACTGTCCCTGGAGGTTTTAAGAAAAGACTGGATGTGGCACTTAGTGCCATGGTCTAGTTGACATGGTGGTGTTGGGTCATAGGTTGGACTCAGTGATCTCAGAGGCCTTTTCCAACCTAAATGGTTCTGTGATTCTGTGATTCTGTGATTTGGATCTCAAATCTTGCAAAAGTGCAAGAATGCCCACACCCTGAGCATCACTGATGCTTTAACAGCAGCTGCACACTAAGACATCCACATCCCACATAATAATTGAAGCATAAAAAATTATTGAACACTGTGGAAAATGCTGCATGACTAAACAACCCAGCAATTTTCTATTAGTTCTGCCCTCACTTTTAATTTCTTAATTGCTTCTTCTGAATACAAAATTATTTTACCAGGCTATTACTGCAATAAATATTTTAAAAAAAAATCCACAACAAAATTAAAGATTATATTTGCCAACTAGTATCATAAAATAAAAGACTGCTAACAAAACATAGCTGCTCCTATGCTGCTAAATACCTGAGGATCGTGGTGTTAGTAGGAATGTTGGTGCCAGGCAGGTATGGCTGACCGGAAAGAAAAGAGGTCAGAGCGTTTTCATCAAGAAAAGATTAATAAGCTCCAAATATACAATTGGATGTATATGTATTGTTTATATGTGTGTACATGCCAGTGACAAAAGATGACTTTATTTTATGTATGGATGGCCAGATACGTAAATAAAACCACAGGAGCGAACCTGCCCTTAGGTGCTGTTTGTATACTTGGATACTTGGGCTGCTTTTCAGCCTAATGGTAGCCCAGGGGAGAGAGTCCAAAGGGAAAAGGAAGTCACAGCCACCCTCTGCCCTGTGCACTCAGCAGGGACAATAGAGTGCTCTGGCCACTGACAGCAGCCTTGTTTGTCTTGGGGGGTTGAACACCAACAACTTTTCCATTACATGGATGAATATAGAAATAGAAAGTAAGCATCCTATTCCCAAAGATTATTCTTTTTAAAAAAAATGAAGAGATGAAATTTCTTACAGAAAACATCAAGAATGGAAGAAAGGCAGCTTTGCAGAGCTCCCTTGTTACACCGTTGTGATTCAAAGCACCTTTCAGTTTGGATAAAGCTAACATCAGGTTTTGCCCCCCCCCCTCCCCGTCCAGATTTTCCCACCTTCTCAAGAGCCCTGCCAGTAGAGAGAAAAGGCAGAAGCAGTCACATTCACACTACAGAGTCCTTTAGGGCTTTCATTTTGGATAGTACAAATCCTCTGATATAAATGTCGCTTTTCAGGAATATAAACAGTTGCAACAAAACAGGAACAATCTACATAAATTTTGAAAAGCGCAGACAAAACAAAAAGCCAAGGTCAAATCACTGGATACTCACAAGGATCCCTAAAGTGCTTCCAGATACTGTAATACCAAACAATTACAATGTTTTATACTTTCATGGAGACAGACAAGTACAATCTCAGAATGCCTTTCCCCCCTCAAAAA